AATTTTAATTGGTTAAAGTTAATTTGTACGTAGGCATAAAATATAGACCGTTCTGTTACTAGGATTTGCAGGTAGAAACAGGACGAGTCTATAAGTCTAAGAAATGGTTTGTTTTTTTTATGGATTTAGTAAAAGGATTTATTTAGAACTTGGAGATGCATGTCGATTTATATTAAATAAATTCTTTCATTTTGCATACTTTAGAGAATTGATTGATGGAAACACTTTATTAGTTTTGGTGGGGGGGCCCTTTTATAAAAATCATTGATTGCATTTGATCCTTTTTATTTTTGGTTTTATTAGAAGTAAAATAATTTGTTTTGAGTAATAGACAGGTATATTCCGAAAAAAGTGGGGGTGGAGTTATTCTCTCACTCTGCAACATTTTACAGACATTTCATGGAAGTACCATTTGTTTTCATGGATAACATAGCTACTTTTCAAAGAAAATAGCAACTTCAGATTTAATTATAAAACCACCTTGAATTGGTACAAAAAATTTAGTGTTTGCTTTTTACTACAACCGGATGAGAGCATGTATATTTTCACCAAATCTAATTTCCTTTCATTTGAAATTTATGTCTATGGTGTCTTTGGCAGAATATTTGACTTAACCCAATCATTCTTAACAAATTGTCTAATGAGAACCATATTGAATGGCTATGCTTCTAGATCATTTCACATTAATGTGTGGGTTTCTTCCAGGGCTCTTGGGCCTATGTTGATTCTTATCTTTATCAACAATCTTCCTGATATCATCCTCTCTCAGATATGTCCGATAAAGTAAAACTGACAATTGCTCTAGAAAATGACCTCCAGTCAGTTGTTAACTGGTGCAAGTAATGGCTTATAAATTTTAATGCCTCCAAAATGAAACTGCTATCATTTAATCATCGTAGGGAACAATTATTGTCCTTCGCCAGCATGGGTGATGCTAATCACTAGGAGAGCAACTCATTGCCCCCTTCTTTGTTTCACATTTTCCACTGACATGAAATGGAGTGATTATAATTAATTGGCAGTGTCACCTTGCGTGAAATGATTTAATTTTCATTAAATTTACTGTTATATTTTTAAATATAACAGTAAATTTAATGAAAATTCAAATTCTTACTCTTGGATACACACTTTCTTTGTTTAAATGATTTTATGAAGATGAATAAACTAAATTGGTCAAAATGTGCTGATGTTTGTACAGTTAATGCTCAAACAAGGATTGTGTTAATTATAAGTAGAATGATAAAAGGAAACAGCAATTGCAATCTGGATGCCTGTTACATCCATTGGAAATAACTTGAAAATACAAAATAACAGGAAAATACCAGAAGATTAAAAAATAGATGATGAAACCATATTTATAGTAAATTTTTATTATTTTTTATTATTAAGGCTTGCTTACTCAATAGTTGCATTTCCCAAGTTTTATGTGATGAAATGGAAAAAACATAAAATCCTTTACTTTTACCTATCTTCATATATATTATTCATTTGAAATGGAAATACAGCTTACCCTGACGATCCGCTTAGGTGAAAACCCGGTAGGTTTGTCTGGTTCTCTAGGTTTGACTAGGTTTTCAAGTAGTAATTGGTTTCGGCTAAAACTGGAATTATTTTATAATGAGTTCTTGCCACGTGCAATCCAAGTAAGTGATATTTTGGGTTCACATTTGATGAAGTCTTGTAGAATACCTCAGAAGTTCTTAATTGATAAAAAGAATCAGCTAATGATAAATGCAGGGAAGTTAATGTAAAAGGTTCTGTAGCAGCAGGTGAATCCAGATTCAGTAGTAGTATTTGAAACAACATAACCAGATATTGGCAGATTTGACTTGCTTAGTACTGGATCTGCCTCAACTGAATGTTCCTGTTATGCTAAAAATGGAAGAATCTTATATATGTGGTTCTTTCTAGGTATATCTGTTGCCTCCCTTTATATTTTTATTCATTTATTTAAATCATTTAACTCCAAGCAAGGTGATAAAGTCACTAAGATGCAAGTAGTTACTGAGCGTGAAGGAAACAGAAAAATGTTACTGAGGAGAATGGATAATGAAAAGAGTATTCAAAGAGACAGATGATGACAATTTATGTTGCATTTAAATTTAAAGAAGATTCCACATGTGAGGAGTGAAGAGAAGACACTATAAGAATAGAACTTATAGTTAGATCTATTTCAACAGTAAAATGATGATGGCATGCCTGTAAATTTAGTACTATGCTTAAATTTATGGAAAATTTATAACAAAGAAGAAAGCTTATCAGAACAATTGTGATGAAAATATTTATAGAAGAGGTACAAGGAAACTATGGAGAAGAGAAAGCAGTTAATGTCAGGTCAGGACTGATAACATTGTAGATTCTTCTTTGGATTTTGTCTTGATTCTCTAAGCATCAGAGCAGGTGTGATAACAATATTCAATGCAAAGATAAACAGACAGAGAAGGTGCAATAAGTTACTCTCATGGAGGTTAGCATCAGACATGCTTATGGGAGGCAGACAAGGCTCTCTAAGATGATTAAAAGAGATCAATTTAGTTTTGGAGGCATTAACATTAACAAAATATTTCTTGTCCCAACTTGAGCATAAAGAAAATACTCAAGCGAGCATGTCTAAATTACAAGTAGATCAAAATATCTTTTGAGAATTAACAATTTCTAATTATTGAGAATATTCTGTTATTCTAATATCCAGGCCTATGAATCAGTCATACCCTAAATTGAAATTAAAATCTTGGTATTCAATGTGGAGTATTAAGTCTTTCTTCAGTAGCAGGAAAGAAATAATTTTTGCTGTAATATGTTTTAGAAAGGAGAAAAATTGTACTTAATTTATATGAATCATGAAGAAACAGAGACAGTTGAAACAGGACAACCAATAATTGAATAATACTAAAAGATCAAAACAAGATTTCCCTGATATGGACAACAGATGAATGAGAACACACTACTATTGTAATTCAAATAAAGCATTCAGTTTAAAATTACCTAAAAACAACTCAGATTGTTAGACACCTGAAGAAGTTCTGAGGGCACCACAGCCGAAATGTTGTGATAATAACAAAGATGAGGATATTAGTCAGACTGTAAATAACTCTTCATCCCAGATTTTCAAATAGTAAAACTAGTAATAAAATGAGAGTAAATTAATAGGAAACCATAAAAATGTCTTATTTTTATGGTTTTCTGCTTCCCTCACAATCTTTTACTCAAAAATCCAATAATACGTTAATTAGAAATGAGTCTGTACTGTTAATTTCTAATTTCAAAGGAAAATAATTTATCAATTATTTGGTTTTAACTTTCTATATACAAACGTTAAAGTCAGTTAATTGTGTTTCTGAGGCGAATAAAGAAAACAGTAACCAGCGAGTAAATTCAAGCTCTCCCAGCTGGTATTTCAACCTTGAGTCGTTCCTTCTTGAGTTCTGTCTCAAAATCACACTAAATGCCCGTTCTTGCCGTCAACTGTGAACTTCCCTCGAAGAACTCCCCGACTCGGAAAAAAGTAGTTGCTTTTATAGTTGTTCATATACCCATAATCCCTTGCGTCTTCATGTGATCCCATAATTCATTGCGTCCATATCCCATAATGCATTGCATCTTTATTGCATAAAAATGCAATGCCAGTCCCCCCTCATTCTTTTATGTTATCTGGCCGAGGATGGATTACTGCAGAGCGGTAATTTTTTTCTCCCTCATTTCAACTGCAGTAGCTTTACATGCTAAGCAAATACGGGCTCTTTTTGGCGGGGACAAGGCAAGTCGCGACCAGTTGTGCTCATCCCAGGTTCTGTCTCATGTCCGCCACAGTTTCGGTACAAGACTATCCATTATCTTTTAGGAGGGAAACTTTTAAATAATAGCAGTGTCAATGATTTTAATCTTTAAATTTAATCTTTTTTATTTTCACTGCTATTGGGTTGTGTACTGATTTCTGAATTTTGTATTAAAGTATAACTATAATGAGATAAGGTGTAAAACTAGTAATGAGATAATAACTAGAATAATGCTTTTTATAAATATTTTCAACATAGGTATTTACCTTCTTAATAGAATTAGATAATAAAGAGTATGTAAGTAATGATTGAGTGTGGTGTTAGGGAAGAGGAATAATTAGGTGAAGAGATTTTTGCTCTTTCCAGTGTTCCTAAAAAATATATTTTTTTTTGTATTGAGTAAATTCTTCATCTCAGTTTGCTTCTTTAATTTTTCATTATTTGATTTTTAGGTTTTACTATTTATTTTTTAAGCTGAAAGAATTTACTAATCATAATTTTATAAAAGTTTTTTTTTTTTTTTTTTTTGTTGAAATCAACATCACCCCAAGCAAGGCAGTAAAGTCACTAAGACACAAGTGATTACTGGTTGTGAAAGAACTAGAAAACAGAAGCATTATTAAGGAGCAAAAACAATAGAAGAGTAATCAGAAAGCTAGTAGATAATGATTGACATTTAAATTTTTGAAGATCAAACTTGACTGGAAAGTAAGAAGCTGGAAGAGTTCCACAAGCAAGAAGTGTGAGAAAAGAAATCGTTAGCAAAGAACTTACAATACATGAAAATATATTCAAGAAGGTGATGTAATTCGTTGATATCTATTTAGTTAGCATTATTTGTGGGACACATTGATAACTTATAAGGATTATTTATTATTTTCGTGATGAACCATTTTAAAAAAAATTTTTTTTATTAGGTTTAAAATATAAATTCTATTCACTCCTGAATCAAAACAGAGTAAAGAAATTTGTGCATCGTGTGTGTTTTAATTAATTTTAAAATTGTCAAATCAAAGAATTTTAATTAAGACATTGTACAACAAGTAAAAAATATAATTAACTCATGTCATTTAGATGGAATCCATTGTCTGCTATTTTAGACAACTTTAATTTATTGCCTAGTCTTTTTTTTTTTTTTTTTTCTCTCTTTATCAGGTATTTTCTTTTTTAGAATTGATATTGAATGTTTCTATTCTTTATGTTCATGTTTCTGTCTTATTCTAGGAATGCGACATGATTCCAGTCTGGCCCTTCCAATTCGTCAGACTGCTTCCATATTTAAACAGCCTGTTACTGTGATTCGAACACGGCCAGAGAGTCGACCTAAAACAGACCTCAAACATGGACCACAAGAACAGCCAAAACAGGTCAGTATTTTGACTGTGCAGTAGCAGCTGGTCATTTTATACAGTCTTCCATAACATGTAAGAAATACTATTATAAAAATATATGTAATATAACACTTCAGTACCTACTTATTCAAAAGATTGAGAATCCTAAATACTTTTAAGCAACTAAATAGAAAATCTCTCTCTCTCAAGAGAGAGAGAGAGACAATGACACTAAAAAAACACATTTCATCCTATTAAGTTACAACTCTACATTTAAGAGTGTGTATGCATGTGCATTGTAAAGCCTCACTACAACAGAAGATAGAAACAAGTCTAATTTATTCAACTGGATTGATCAACTGAGAAAATGAATCAAATATTCTTATTATCCATCCTATATATTGATATTTTCATCCTAAATTGATTAGATTGTATATCATGATTTTAAAAAAGGAAAAAAAAAATAGAATGTCTTTTACCCAAGCTAATCACTAACACTTTAGTTTACAGTTGAAGCATTTCTACTTTCCTTTTTAGATTAATTCTTTATGGTTTTACTTTCAATGAGGTTCTTCACCTCGAATGATTATTAGGACTAAAGGTTACTCCTGATCTCAAGTGGAACTTGTATATTCGCACCATTGCGAAACGTCTTTGAAGAATGGTCAGTTTCTTGGAACAAATTGGAAAATTAATCTTTCATGTAAACATTTTGAAAAAAATTTTCTTGTTGAACCTTTTAATAATTTAATACTTTATTTTATTTTTTTTTTTCCTCATTTTATATTCTAGTTGTTTTGGGAAAAGCGATTGAGAGGAGTTCAGCCACGAGATGTTAATGATGACCCATTTGTCCCACTAGAGTTGCCCCTTAACATGCAAGGTATGGACAATACGGGTATGACCCACAGCTTTTTATTTATCTTTGAATACTGTATTTTAACATCAGATTCTCTCTCTTTACCCTGCCAACCCCCCTTCACTCTGATAAAGTCCCTTTTGTAGGTTGAGTAATCATATATTCTGTTTAACCATTGAACCTTTTACTATGAATTCAAGTCTCGACCTTTGTACTTGTTGACATGTAACATTCATCCCCATCCAATGATTATGATTTACTTTAGATCTACTGAGAGAATGTGATTTTACTTGTCTATAAAGTTTTAAAAAAGAATCAACATTCTGAATTTTGTTTAGACAATTGACCTCCTCCTCCTCTTCTTCTTTATGGATTATATATACATGATGAAGGCTGATGACTGACTCAGCCAAGATATTTTATTAACAACATGAAGAAAGAGTTCAATTGTCAGAAGAAAATGTTAAGTGATTTTAGTTGTCATTAAATGTTGCTTCTTTTCTAATGGAGTTGTTTAATTTCTGATCATTTGATGTTAATAGGTTAACTTGTGATTCATAATTAAAGATTTCTGTCAAACTTTCTAGGAAAATAAATTTAACATTATTTACAAATGCAGCATGAATAACAAAACAAACACAAAAATCCTTATCTACTCATATTTATGTAGGTACCTCCAAAAATTTGCTAAAAAAAGAGGATAGATGATGAAAAAAAATGCCCAAAACACATTAAAAATATATATATATATATATATATATTAGAATGTTGTGAGTTATGGTTAAAAATTTCGTTTTTCTAGTATCAATGCAGGACCATAAATTTGTATGGGGAATTTAAGCACCTTTTTTGCAATGAAAATCACTTTGATTTGAAAATTCTTGTAAAACTCAGGAATCAGAATTTTGAAACATTTCTTCTCTCTCTCTCCTTTTTTTTTTTTTTTCCTTTTTAAAAAATCTTGGTAAAATTTACCCCCCCCCCACTCCCACTCATTTAATTTTATGAAATTTTAATAATTCTTTTTTTGTATTGCTTAATGTTTTTATTTATTATAAAAGCAAGTCCTCAGAGAGTTTAAATCATAAAATGTTTTTAGGCTAAACAGGACTACCAATAACATAAAAGCTGCTTTGAATTGTAAAATAAAAAAAGGCAACTAAGACATGAAAGTTACAATTGCATTTATGAATAAATAAAACATTATGGACACTGTTGTCTTAAGGAAAAAAAATTCATTGAATAATGAATTTTTTACAAAAATTGCTTTCATTTTTTTTTTTTTTTTTAAATTAGAATAATATACTTTATATAATAAACTTTAAAATCTTTTTCAATTCTGTATTATGTCTTAGCAGCCAAGTGATATTATTAGATTAAAACTGTATTTACTAATAATAAATGGAAAAACTCCAATTCAATGACCACTAGTATTTTTTAAAATAATTGTTTATGTGTATATAAATGTGTTGATTTTTGTAAATACAGATGTCCATACATGACATTATCAGAAAAAATTAGTAAATTTTAAAAATTATTGTTGATTTTCTAACATTTTCTCAATAAGTGTCTTTGTAAGTAAGTACCTAAAATTGAATAAAATATTAGAATGCTTAAAATATTAAAATTTTTTTTTTTCTAAAGTAGTGGGTTGTTAAAAAAAAGGCATTCATGTTGTATTCATCATATAGTTTTTTTTTTTATAATGAGAATTATGTTGTCCTGAAAAGTCTGTCAATATGGACAAATATAGAAATTTTACTAATAAGTCAAAAAAAAAAAAATACTATTTAGATTAAATTCAGTTTGAAATACATCAATTTTTTTTGCCTCTTAAGAATATTAAATTTAATCCATTAGCTTGGGATTAAAACTAAACTTAATGCTTCAAGTAAAATTATCGTTTTTTTTTTTTTTTTTTAAATGCATTTTAAACTTCAGGTACCACTTTTTTCAAATTTTGAAATTTAGTGACATGTTTGTATTTTATCTTTAATCCTGGATTTTAGTAATAAAAAAGAATGAAACAAATTTTATGAAAATTGTACTGTCATTAACAAACATCTCTATTATAAATTCTGTTGGTCCTCCTTTCGTTAGTTAATTAGTTCCATACTTTGCATGACTGTTATACCCTGCTAATACCTCATAGATAATGGGCTATTCCATTTTGATTTCAAGGAAGAACAGAACTGAGATATCAGAGATGCTACTTCGGTTTAGTGAGAAAATGAATGCAAGGAAGATAGAAGTATTTAATGTTTGTTTCTATGAAATGGAAGAAGTTGTCAATTTGAAATCTTTTTTTTTTTTTTTTTGTACACTCTTACATATAAATAAATTTATTAAGAAAATGTTTGCAAGACAGGTTTTTGGCTTGTTGAAATTGATTCCTGTATTATTAATATCTTTATTTTATGCTAGACTTTTTGTAATAATGTTAAAACAAATAAAACGCCACCTACAACAGAACTTAACAGATAACATTGCCAACAATCTAATACAATGGTTTCATTTTGTGTATCATGTGACTTTTGAAAACTTAATTTGACTGCAGTAAATGGATATATAGTTTGGTCAATGGTGTAGCCAGGGCCAGCAGTACATAGGCTAATTTTATATTTTGTGTATGATGTGACCCCCTTAAAATTAGCTTCAAAATTAGGTCTTCAAAAGTCGCATGATACGTGAGTACATATTGTGTGTGTGTGTGTGTGTATATATATATATATATATACACACACACCATAGAGGACAGGACCTCATACTAATTTTACATGTGTATTAGTTTGATATTTGCAATAAATAGATCATCCCACATGATTGTTGATGTTTGCATTCCAACAGATCCCACTTGAATAGTTTTTGATTCCTTATAATTCAAATCTTTCTCGTTTTATTTGTTGGGGAAGCACCCATTAACAAAGATTCAGTTTAACTGAAATCATAGCAGATGTGTTGAAGAAACTTTGATTCTTAGATGGTCAACTATCAGAACAGTGAGACGTTAATAACAGAATATAAAATTATACCAACTGTTCTTCTACATTAGTACTGAAAAATGAATATTTCTGCAATGTTAATGATTTAATATTTGAAGAGGTTTGGCTTTTGATCATCTAAAATGATCCAAACCTTGCTTGCTTCCATTAGAATCAAATGTTCACTTTTTATATAAAATTATATATATATATATATATATATATATATATATAATTATTTGACCTAAGTGTGTGTGTTTATTTATTTATTTATATATATATATATATATACACACACACACACACACACACACACACACACGTGACCTGATGATTGTATTTAGCATGAAACACTGTCGCCTCTGGGTGTTGACTTCAATGTCTGCATTTATATTTACATACTCTCTATCCCTGATATTGAGCACCTTAACCCATAAATATATCATACCTTAAAACTATTTTATTATATACGGCATATGTTACTAAAGTCAACAAACATTTTGTACTGATTGATTTTTCCAAATTACATCTAATCCTTCTCTGAAAATGAGGAAATTATCTCAGAAATTGCCCAAAGATCACTTTGGAAAAAATATGGTGCAATCTTTTGACTTTTAAGTTATCATCAGGTTAGGTAATTCTATTATCTGTAGAAATAAATTGTTATTGGCAAAAGAAAATGATTCAGGTAGTGAGGTAGGTTCAACTGTAGAAAACAAAATTTATGTAGATGCTGAAGAATAAATGAACTTTTCTTGTATTAACAAAACAGTAATTTGGCAAATATCTGAAGGCTTCATAAGGATTTTATAATCTGCTTTTATTCATCACCCCCCTCCCACTTGGTTACACAGATCAAAATTCTTCAGTGATATTTAGTTTTCTTTATTATTAAATGATAGTAGACATAATATGCGCATGTGTGTTTAATGAATGGAAGCTGTTTGATTGGTTAGGAAATCATGTTATTTTTTTATGCTTGGAAACTCTAAAATGACATTTCATATCTTAATTTCTTTCAGCTTTTGCTCAGTGTTACAAGTTGGCTGATTTGGAACTGGAGTTCTGTTTTTTTTTTTTTTTTTTTTCTTTAAGCACCTATTATTCTCTTATTTTAAATGTGAACTTGTAATTATTCTTTCAATGTTTTCTTTTCTACTTAACTTCAAAGTTCTGCCTTTTGCCATCCAATTCTTTTTTTTGCAAATGTTCATACTAACTTCTTCACCATTGCACTTGAGGCTAGTCATTTGCTCCTCTGTGTTTGGCCAATAAAAGCTGTCAATCCTTGATGGCATTTCTCAAGTACACAAATATGGGGACTATAGGGAAATTTTAAAACTTTTTGAGTATAAAAGGGCAATGTTTTAACATATTTGAATTGAGTATATCAGTTATCAATTTCATCGGATTGCTGACCACCTTCAGGTACTCATTGTCCAGCTTTTGAAAGTGTTCATCTGAAAATTTTTCCACTCTGTGTCTTTGCAAAGCTACCTGTTTGGTGGTCACTATTTCCTTTTCATCCTTGATGTAAGTGTAGTTTTGATTTTTTTACCCACTGTTATGGCTAAAACATTATCTGATATTCTCTTAGGTCTATAATTTATCCCCTTCCCTCCCAATTTGATAGACAAGCAGGCAGTAGTGCTTTAGCATCGTGCAATGTATACATATACACTCTTCATCTCCTCTTGTTTATATTGAGATAAAACAAAATAGAATCTAACACCAAGTCACATGGCTAGGATGAAAGAATGAACAGATCAACTGACTGATCCTTCCACTTTTGGCAACTGTAGAGAAAGGAAATTAAAATCTTTATCAATTATTATTTTTAACAAACCAAGTGGATGACATTATTAATTCAACTAAATCAATTTTCATTTCATTATCTCTACTGTTGACATTAGATGTGAAGTGAAAAATACATAGAAAACAAAAATTTCACATGCGACTACACACAATGCTTTTCTGGTTTAAGCCAAAGAGATCTGCCATGTGGTACCTTTACAAAAAAGATTTTTTTTCACAAATACATTTAAATTTTGGGATCATATCAATGACAGTGTAAAATTAATTCCACATTTTAAGCACAATACATTCTTTCCTAAGTAGCTATACCTTTGAAATTGGCCCAAATTCCTGCAAAATGTATGACCAACATTTGAAAAACTTTCAATTGGTTGGATTTGTCATTTACATAGACTGAAGTAACAAAATGCCAAATGAACTGTTTGATCTTTATAGTGGTTAATTGTCTTTAAAATAATTTGTCAATGAATGTACATCTTTCAGATTAACATTTTTACTTGTAATATTTGTAAAATATTAAACTGTATGAGATTCCATCAAGCATGCATATCTATAATAAATCATGGCTATTTACATGAGTGCTATGTTGAATTTAGGCATAATGAAGGAAGGACTGTTACTTCATTAGAAGAACAAAACAAAAAAAAAATTAAAAAAAAATCTAACTGTTGAAAAATAGTATGTGAGTTGTTTGAAAGCCTTAGCATAGAGACATTAGGTTTAAGGCTCCAAGTTCTAGCTTCATTATTGTCCCACAGGACAATAACCTAGAGGATTCATGTGTTGGTTCATGAATTTAATGGCATAGTAATCATGGGTTCAATCCCTGAACCAGGTAGAAGACTCAGTGGAAAAGGGCTAGCAACAACAAATTAGTACTAAATTAGAACAAGATATTGTCTGTCTGAAATTCTGGAATGAGGAATTGTTGTCATTTACACTCTGACTATTGTCCTCTTCACAACATTTTGACTTTTACTCTCTGGCCTACTTCAGGTATTTTTTGACAACATCTGGTAACCTTCAGGGATTTCAGTACCGATCCCTTTATTTATTTGAATAGATTGTTCTCTATGTCTAGGGATAATAGCCTAGCGAATTAAAGTGTTGGTTCATGTAACAACAAAGTTTTAAAGAAAATAGAAACAAAAAGGACACTTAGAATCAGAAAAAAAAAACAGTTGAAATTTCTAGGGCACATAAGGAATAGGGGTTTGGGGAATTTGATACTCACAAGTCATATTAAAGGCAAGAGGAACAGAGTAAAGCAGCGAATATAATATACACCTGGCAAGCTTGTGTAAATGGTTAGTGGAGGAATGTGGATTGGATGAGTTAGCCAAAAAACACATTGCTAAGGGCTACAAAAGACAAGAAGTTATGGAGAACCAGGATCGCTCACATCCTGAAAGCACATGGTACATAGAAAAAGTAATTGTGTGTTCAGTCTATGGACTGGATAGTGCAGAGTTAGAACTCAGTGGAAACAGGTCAAGCACTGAGCAGTACTAAATAAGAATGGAAATCCCTAGAAAGTACAATGAGAAAAATCTACCCACTTTAGAGTCACAATAAAGGGTTGACATTTTTTGAAGGTTTTTCGTATTGACAAAAACTTGAAGGCTAGAGAGCACAACAACCAAAACTTTGTAATAACAACAACAAAGATGAGGAAAATAATGTAAATACTGTAAATAAAGATAAGCTATCCTTAGCTATGAACAGTTGAATGTGAACAATCCATGTAGACTAAATATACGGTTCAGTTCAAAATTCCCTGAAGGTCACCTGGATTGACAGATACCTGAAACATTGTGCTAGTAACAACAAAGATGACATTAATCTGAGAGTAAATAATGTAAATAAGTAATATTAGTTGACTAATCACTACAGTCCTTTGCTCCATCATCAAAACTGAAAGGTGTATCCTGGGATCATGATTGTACTTTTAAAAATAACTGAATCAAATGAAACAGGATTAGTATTCAATATAGTTTCATCATATAGATATTATAGAGAGACTTAATTTAAACACTTTCTGTACTTTTGTATACATGCTAAGTTGATCTTTACCAGAAATTATTTTTCTTTGTATTTCAACAATATATATTTAACAAAAAACAAAACCAAAATCAAATGTCGATATAATATTTTATCCTCTAAGCAACGTATTCTAGCTTCCATTACAGGCATTGGCCCTGACCTTACCACCGAGAACATCCTGCAGAGTATTGCTGCAGCTTTACATGTTAGTAACATACCAGTGACAGGACAGAATTCCAGTAAATCCATTCAGAAAAATCCAGGTGTCAACATGGATGCTAACCAGCCTAAAATGCAGGTATGGAAACAAAATCCCTTTTCCATGATTTTTATTTTTTTAAATTAGTGATTTTTGCTTCATTCTGAATTGAACATTTTAGATTTTGAGAATTTAAAGAAGTGAACAATTTTTTTCCACAAGTGTTGTGTAATTCAGTTTCATTGATAAATTAGTTTCTCTTTCTGTTTATAACTTTCTCTTTTCAAGTTTTTATTTCTGTTGTTGCCTTCTCTTTACTTTTGTTTGGCTTTAATCAGTTAAGTTTTTCCTTCTAAATTCTTTGGTAAAATTAAAAATGTAAACTTTATTGCACAGAATATTTCACTTTATTCATTTGTATTCATATTATGAATACGTGTGAATATTAGTTTCTATCCATATAGTGTATACACGTCCGTATTCTTATTTGTATAGTGAATGCGCATGAATATTTATTATTCATTTCTGTTGCAAATCAAATGAACTTTAATTTTTTCTTTTTTATCTGGATGCAAACCGCAATTATTTTTTTACTTTTTATTATTTTTTTTTTTTGTTTGAATTTCTGTGATGAGGAGTCATTATTTATGCTATTTATATTTGGACTATTGTCCTCATCACAATATCCCTAGTTATGAGCAGTGGAATGAGAAGAGATTAAATAAATGGTTCAGAAATTGATATACACCTGAGGAAAAAACAGTGATAACAATAACAAAGATGAGGACAATAGTCTGAATATAAGTAGTGTACTCAATGATTATATTTTGAAAATAAAATAATTTTTGTTAACCATTTCACCACCATATACAGCTATTCAAATTACCAGTATTCTCCCATGTTTCATCACAATCCAATTGATATGTTCATATTAGCAAATTTCTTAGAATTTGATCCCTGTTGCGTTTTTGTTAAATCTGCTTTGACTTCATAATTATTTACAAGTTTTTATGCACTAAACTGGCTAACATTAATCTTACCAAGTTTTGGGGGTGGGAAAAGTAAATCTGCCTTTTCAAATATTCACTTGACAACTATTGCCATATTCAATTAAAATATTTTAACAGATTAAAAGATGAAAGTTCTTTTAGTTTTACTTGAAAATGATGAGAATCAATTCAAAATATTTTTTAGATCTTGAACATAGTTATTTACAAATGCAAAATTGACTTGGTGTAAAATGCATTGTAAAATGCAGTTGTACTAACTTTTAGCAAATTTGGGCTTTTTGCAGTGACACATTAATTTGGAAATTCTTGCAAAAATCAAATAATTGTCAGATTATAATGAAATTTTTAGGACTTATTCACAAATGAATGAAATTATTTTAAAGAATTTTTTTTATTAGAAAATCTTGGTAAAAAAAATTTGTTTTTTATGTGTTTCAGCCCTTAATTTTATGAAAACTTGAGAAATTTAACATGTTAATTTTTGGTGACTATATTAGTTAAAAGCAGAATTCTATGAAGAATTTAAATCAAATTGTTTTTGCAAAATCAGATACAGTCTTAGCAAAAATATGTTTTGAATTGAAGAATAAATAAAAAATGCAATAAAACTAAGACATTATTTAATTAGAGAAGCTTTTAATTGCTTTTATGAATAATATATATTAAAGACAATATTGTCTGAAGAAAATTTTTTTTCAAAAAATGAATTTGAACAAGATTTGTTTTCATTTTTTTTTTATGATTTAAAATTTTTAAAAATCCATTTTCAATGTGATATGTTCATAGGAAATATTGCTATTAAGTAAAACTATATTTACTAATACATTGTAAAGCTTATTACAATCTGACGAACCCAAATACTTTGAAAAGAATTTCAGTTTGCTTTTGCATTGGTTATTACATGCAGAATTTCTGGAGTATGGCTGTACATACTGATAAATCTATCATTAAAAGGTCAGGTGTTTTAAGGGTTGTCTTCCCTTACAGCGAAAAAAAAAAACGACCCAAGAAAAAAAACCTTCAAACTTTATCATCTGCTCTGCCATACTTAATTATGAATATGTTTGGATGTCAATAAATTAACACGTCACAAAAACAAGACCTTGTGCTTAAATGTTTGTATACAACATTTTATGCTATAAGTTAGTAATATTTGTTTAAAATCAGATTAATTTAACATTAAATTTTCTAATTTTCCTTAAATAACATTTTAGAAATATATATTTTAATTTTATAAGATTTTTAAAACCGAGAATTAACTTTTGTTTACAAATGTGTCAAAACAAAAATGGCTGTTTTGATTGATTTTTACTAAAAAAAAAAAAAAAAAAAAAATCAATTCCAATCAATATAATTTCTGTTTGAAATACACCACAGTATTTTTATTACTGGAAATAGTAAATTTTAAATCCTTTAGCTTTCAATTAAAGCTAAAATGAAAGCTTCAAGAAAGCCTTTTCACTTTTAAAAAATCATTTTAAACCTTATGTATATCGAATTAGTGGATGTACCTCTTCTAGTGTCTTGGCCATTCTTTTAGTCAAGATTTGTCAATCAGCCAACAATTTCATCAATTGCCACCTTAGAAGGCTTTCCCAAATCACTCTATTATCTTTGGTTTTGGTCTTTGCACTTGAAATTGGTACACAACTTTACAGTTGAGTATTTCAGGAAATTATGACCTAATAATTGCATCATACTCACATACTTTTTTTTTCTGTAGGAACAGGAATTTCTGCAGCTCAATAGTTGAGAACTCCACACATTCCTTTGATCTGATTGAGTCAATTAACCGAAACAAATTCTGAAATAAGTGCAAGGATAGTGTGAACAGATGCTGTTATTGTGACAACATGACAGATTTTGGGATATAATTAGAGCTGAGAACTTTTCAATACCCCTTTTGTATATGTGGGTGTGTGAGGCTGAGAACTTTTCAGTGTCACCTTTGTATGTGTGGGTGAGGCTGAGAACTGTGTAATGAAATGTGTATGACTAAATCAATCTGAAGTTATTGATTTAAGATTTTTTTTCTTCACCTTTTGTTGTAGTACATGATGGTCTCTGACAATGATGTCAGGCGACAAGAACATAAAGTATTGGATGCCAGACGGAAACTACAAGCTGCTCTTGTAGGTGTTTCATAATTTTTTGTAAGTAGTTACTTTAATAGTTTGAAATTCTCACTTGTTTTAGGAAGATCTCCAAGTATTTGGGGAAGAAGAAAAATCCAGATTTACAGTTTAACGGGAGATAACTCTTGGTGATAAAAAGTTAGTATTTATTTTCATTACGTCGCATTGTTTGGAGGTCCAAAAGCCATTATTAAGTTTGATTCTTTTTCAGTATTTCATAATTCTAACTTTATACAAAACTTAGCTTCTTCTAAATCTCGCTTTAAAATTATTGGAAATCTGTTCAGAGATTTTAATATCTATTAAATATTTCCTTATGGTCACTGGTCAAGGACAAATCAGGCACATGTCAAGGATTTTAGACATTATTCTGAAAAGTTAGGCTTATTTGAAATGTTGCTCATGATGCTTGTCAATCTGAAACTTTATTGTTATGTGTTAGAAAATGGTATTCATGAAGTGAGGTGGTCTCCACTTATTATGAACAAAATTATTTGTGGTGTTGGGGGAGGTACTTTCAATTTGGACATGGACAGGAAGGATTTGTGGCTGTCAAACAGTAATTTTTATCAAAATACAAAAGGATGAGTGTACTTTTGGGATTGATAAATTTCCTGGTAAAATTCTTTAATCATTTCAATCAAATACAGTTTTTAGTGATTTTTATCATGACATGTGCACTCCACTTCTTGTACCTGATAACCTTAATAACGTCTTTTCTTAAATTTTGCCCCCACCCCACATCCCATTGTAGAGAAATCAACAATTGAGAGGAATTTCTGTCACTCTTAAGAATTGGGAATTAATATTATCATTTGGCATATTTTTTAGGCAAGGTTGTTTGGTGTTAGTCAGGAATTATGTTAGGGACTCTTATGTTAGAATATCAGTGGCCACCCTGTTAAAGATTTTGTTATTTTAATAATGATTTAAGTTTAATATTAACTTTCTATTATTCATATGATAGTTTATTTTTTTAATTCATGTGTTTGATAATTTCACTGCAATATCTATGTTAGATTTGTATGATGCATTCAATTTTTGATGTGTTTACTTTTCTCAACAAGTTCAATTTAATTTTGTATCTATAAAAGAATACTTAAAAAATGTATATTTAATATTTGTGTATGGTCAATTTTGATGTTTATTTATTATTTCTAAGTCTTAAATATCTTCAAGAAATGTCTGTTCATTTCCATCACAAATGAAATCCAATGGTTCAGTTTGATTTTTAAACACCAAATTTGATAAAATTTTGTTAGAATTTTTGAGATGAGAAATTATGCATTGATTTACCTGGACTGGTGTCCTCATCTTGATTGTCATAGTCAACATTCGGCCATTGCATTCTCATTCAGTATCTGTCATAGTTGGCAACTTTTTTAGAATTTTAAAACAAACACTTTATTCAATGCATACTAGTAGATTTTTCTGTCTCTGAATTGGGTAATGCAGAAAATCATTTATAGTCAAGTTCGGTGGAAGAAACATCAATAATTCAAGTTATCTCCCCTTGCATGGTTTGCTTGGAATGAGGACAGATATTTTGTATAGCTAGAATATGAAGTAAAGAGTTCGGTTTGAAATCCCAAAGTTATCAACTATGACGGACACTTATAGTCATAGGGTACAACAACCCATCTGTGAATATAATAAGCTAGATGAAGATACTCGTCAAAGTAAGCCTGCTTATGAGATTTTGTGGTGTTTTACTTTTAAGAAATTAAAGAGAAACTAGGCCATCTGTAAAACTGCTAGGTTCCTTTTAAAAGCAGTTCATGATAAAAAATGACGAGATTACAATATTTTCAATTTTATTATTAATTACATAGAAATTTTAAAAAGAAAGTGAGAAACTGCAAAATTTAAATTTCTGTAATTAAAAAAAAATTACTTGAGTGTCTTTACTTAAATTATTTGAATTTGTTTTCTTCTGTCATCAAATATTTATTCATATATTTATATGAATATATATTAAAAATATTGAAATATTCATTTTTCCTTTACAGATTTGAGTTGAGCAGCAACAACAGAAACAGGAAGTCATGAATAGCAGCCACATTGACAGTTGGACTCTAGTCATTGTCTCAAAGCTGATACTGAATGCATTTTACTCTCTCTCTCTCATCATTATGTCTGCATTTTTCTTCTCCCTCTTGTTGCTGCTCCTCCTCCTTCATCATTTTCCCATTTTGTTGGGACACACCTACTCTTTTCTTTGAATGGCCAGATGATGAGTTTTTTTTTTTTTTAAAAAAAAAAAATTGTTGCCACCACCTCCCCACTTTTTTTTTTATTATTTATTTTTTTTTAAACTGGAGCTGGTCAAGAGCTGCCAATACTAAATTTAATCCCCACCCCTCGGTTTTGTAAACATAGAACAAATGTATTTTTTATCTTGAAGCAAAAAAGGCATTTACTGTTTCACAGATGGATAGGTGTGTCTTATTCATGCTGTTGCTCTCTTGAGGATTAAGTGAACTTCTCATTTAGCTCCACTCTTCCCTCTCCACACGGACTTTCACTTATTCTTTTATTTAAAACACAGATATTTTAAATCTGTTATTCATATAAATTAGAACCTTTTTCCTCGAACACATATATTAGTTAAAAAAAAAAAAAAAAAAAAAAAAAAAGGAAAAAAAAGTTTCAAAATGTTTGACCATCCCCTTAAGATCTAGATTGATTAAAATGATTCTTACTTCGGAATGTAAGTTATTGCATTAACCAATCTAAAAATAAATGCAATCACGTGATTAAAACTAGGAAACTCTCGCCTTTTCTGCTGTACAATCTTTGTAAATTATAAGAAGTTATTTTTATTTATTTTTCTAATATTGCTCTCAATAAAAAGATCACTTTAATTTTTTGATTCCTGTGCTTCTATGAAAAAAGGGAAACTTTACTCTTTTCTGAGGGTGCTGTTGCAGTTAGTCACCTCAAGACTAACTTGTACATTCCATTTTAGTAAAAATGGTGTCGTCTTCATTTGTATTCTCTTGTTCAGAACATCACCTCGTATGTCAAACTTATCTGTGCGGCACAAAAGTTTGAGGGATTGCTTTCCTCCATCTTTATCATTTCACAGTCGGTCTCATATTCCATTAAGTAAAATTGAATTGCTTACTATTGTCAAAAACAGCTTAATTATAGGAATTGTAGGTCAATTTAAATAAATGATAAAAATAAATGAAATCCTAAAGTTTAAAATTTTGTCATCAAATCAACCTTTCATTTATCATTTTAAGAGAAATAGATTTTATAAGTATTTCATCTTTATAATAATAATAATCTTCATTTCTCTTCGTTATCTTTTTCTCATCAGTATTGATTCATTCTAGGAGACTTTGGACACTTTTTTTAACTTCACTTCTCCATTTCTCTCTTCTCACATCATTTTCCTATCCAACTTTTAAATTTTGATTTTAACTTTTTTTTTTTTTTTTTTGTGTAAGTGTAAAAAAAAAAAATATTTCCCTATCACTATTTCCAAACTCCCATTCACTTTGTTAAAAAGAAAAAAAAAATCTTTTTTAAGAATAAATATCTTGGCTATTTGAAATTATTTTCTATTCGAGTTGTCTTTTTTTCTTTTTAAATTTTATTTTATTATTTTTAAATTATCATTTGTTAATTTTTCAGGGTGCCATTTATTTGGTAGCATAAAATTTATGCATGTTTGTTTTGTGTTTATATATATATATATATATATATATATATATATATATATATATATATATATATACAGGGATATTAAATTTTGGAGTGCTGAATTTTTTCAAATGTATTTTGGGTAAAAAATATATATTTGTCAGTATGAAGCTTTTGGGATTGAGCAATATTTTATTAACATTGTAAAGATAAAATCTTTGGATTAAGGCTCTCATCTAAAATTCATTTATTCATATAGAACCCTAATTTCTGATTGACTTGATTGCATTTTTGTGTCCCCTGAATGAAAATGCTGTCCTTTCAAATTCAAATATTGTACATGTTTCACATTAAGAAAATGATTTTTTTTGCTGTCTCTTTTTTTGGATTTAGTTCATTAAGTGGATGGTAAACAATTCAGATATAATTTCATTTGAGTATAAATATCAAAATCTGTTTATTTTAAAATTTCAAAGTGATGTCTGATAAAAACAGCAACATTTCTCAAAGGCCTGTTGTTTTTTTTATGTTGGTTACTGTTGCAGTTGATGATTGTGTACAAAAAAAAATCATCTTGAGTGTCACCCTCAGCCAGAATATATATTTTACTATTACACATATAAAAACTATTTCGTGTGGTTTTTAATGCAATTTATTAACCTCCCAAAGTTACATGGAAATTCTATATATTCTATGTGAAATACACACACCTGATATTTTTTTGTTTTTTAATACCAAATCTGCTTTTCTGGTATGGACAGGATGCTCCATTTTAATCTAAATCAAAGAGCAGTTAATTCTACATATTCTATATTAGGAATTAAAATATAGACTGTGACCTGGAAATGAACAGTTTATTGTACTCTTTCTTTACACTGTTACATATTAACCTCTACACATGATCACTAATCATCTTGTAGCCCTAGTTCATTTGATAATGTCTTTCCATAATTTATATTTAATACACCCATATATTTTTAGGAAAGTGTATAGAACATGTATTCTTTGTAAGAAATCAGTTTGTAGATCAGGCTTCAGTGACATTTTTGTAAAGAGGATTTTTTTTAAGAATAAAATGTGTTGGTGGTAATATTTTTTTTATAAAGATGGGTTGCTGGTAATATTTAAAAAAAAATGTATTGTTGGTATTTTTACACTTTCATAGTGTTTTGACCCCCAGTTTTGGGAGTGACTGCCTATAGCTGGGAGCCTAACAGGTGCTGCCACCCCGGTTCAGGGTGGACATGGGAACAACATGATTTAAGAGGTGGTTCCACTCTTCTCAAAACACCAGTTAGAGTCCTTGCGGCTGGATGTAGTTTATCGTCTTACCCAGAATGAAGAAGGATTTGGTGCATGTTCTACAAAGGAATGAAATGTGAACTATAATCATGTCAAGAAAAGGAAATACAAATACAGTTTTCAATATACTGTGTTCTTTATTCATGGGTTCCATTAGCACTTTGGTTTTGGGTAGGTAAGTGATGCTAGGGATATTTTCTCTTCTGCCAGTTAGAATACTGACTGTTCCTTTGTCTATCTCTGACTGCAGCTTTCTCTAAGTCTTGACAAACAGCTAGTAACTTGCCTCAGCCAACTCTCATCGCTCCTCTGCCAATATATCATGAGGGATCTTATCAACTCTTATGCCAATTCTAGAATGCATCATTCCCTATCTTTTATTTCCTTCTTGTGGACAACAGGTAGTTTCTTTGTAGTTCTCGCATCTTGATTTTACTGGAAGTCATAAAACACCAGTTGCTTCAGGCTCAGATAATATAATTTGTAGCTCACTTTGTAGGTGTCTTAATGAGAACTTTTTGAATTACATTAGATGAATGCCAAATTTCCTGATGGACTTTTTTTATGTTTACATATTTAAAAATATTTCTTAGTGATTGAACACAGTATAATCATTTGCCCACATCTATATCTATAAATTATCTATAATATATATCAAATTATTATATATGTATATGAGTGTATTTTAATGTATTATGAAGGGTGCTGAAAAATACAAAAAATATCTGATGTTTAGTAATTTGGAAGTGGCTATAGCAAAAAGTTTTCAGCTCTTCATACACACACACACACACACACACAATATTATTTATGTTAGATTTAGTGGATAGGTATGTTTCAGTAGACATCTATTTTTAAACATTCTTTGCCTACTGGCAACAGTTTTTCAAGAGCCTTTAATAAATGATATGTTTTCCGTCAGGAGTTGAACCTATCTTCGCTTTATGTAGAGGAAACCGCTGAAAAGTCTAGCGTGCTTTTAGATTGCTTAGTCACAAATAACCGCAGAAAAGCAATAGCCCCAAATCATACTAAACTAAATTTTATAAATAAATATGTATCATAAAAGAAAATTGATTTACAATCTAAGGGAACTAACTCTTTGTTTAGTCATAAGTTATTTCCCTTGCATTAACATGAAAAATTTCATGTTAATCTTTCTCCTTTTCTAGTAAAAAATATTACGAGTGAAATAATTCCAAAATTTGAGAGCTTTTGATTCAAATCACGCTCAAACTGAATGATTTTACCTGCTTCTATACTGTAAATCCGAACACGTAGTTGTACAGAAAGAGTTTTTTTTTTAAAATTTAAATACAAAATTGTAATATTGCGAATTTTGCATATGAAATTATTATAGACCAAAATCTCGAATGGATTATGAAACCTCATCTTAATAATAATATATTATGTCATAGCTGTGAATGCATCACGGTTTTGAGCAAGATTTAAGTAATTTACAGAGTCAATTTACATCGCGAATCATAAAATCGAAGCATACCGTCAAGTAAAATTTTGACAAAACGAACGCTTTTTCCTAAATCACACACTCCAATAGCAAATCTAAAAAAATTGTAGTGATTCATAAATATGCAGGAGTTGCGTCCCCTGCTTCGTTAGATGATCGAAAAGGAAGGGAAGTATAATTCCCATAATGCACTAGAAAGTTTTGGCGCGAAAATACCTTCCCTCTGTCCCCGCGCTAATTGTTGGATCAGAAAGACGTGATTTCTTCAATGAGATGGCAAGAAAGATGTCTCTTCATACAGATGAGCCTAAAACCAGTTTTTCTTTGCATTAATATATATATAAAATAGTATATATATATATATATATATATATATATATATATATTATATATATATATATATATATGATATTATATAATGTGTGTGTGAATAATATTAATCTAACCTGTTGTAGACGGATGATATAATCCCAGGTAAAAATAACAAAACCCAGGCCTCATATCATTCCCTATCCCACACATTACTCACCAAAAAGAGTGTAGTTATGTCAATCCAGACCATGGGCTCCATTACTTTACTCCCACTTGGGTATTTTTTCGGAGATAATAGTAAGTTGGTCTTACTGATCATTACTTTGGTGTAGTGATCTCAGCCCTCACTGCATACTCCATTTGTAAACTCAAGCTCTGTTTTTCACTGACCGGACAAGTTAACAAGTCACCGAGTATTGTGACTCTATTCTCGTTGGTATACACAGAAACTGGGAAAGTCCCATTGTACGTTCACAAGGTAACAAAAAAGTGAAAATATCGTCACGGCGAGAAATGAAAAG